AGTGCTTTAAGGGACCACTGAGACAAACGTGTCTTAATGAGTTTTAATATAATCCATAGCATTTTCTAATTTTATTGCATTAATAACTAGGCATATCTTTGCTCTGAATCTTGTACAGTTTGATTTAATTTGCTTTCTATTTTTTACCTTCTAGATCCTAAGATCAGGATCTTTGACTTGGGTAGGAAGAAGGCCAAGGTAGATGAGTTCCCCCTTTGCGGCCACATGGTCTCTGATGAGTACGAGCAGCTGTCTTCAGAAGGTCAGTATTCTGGGAACCATGAGAACACATGACTAGCCAACTCAATTTTTTAACTCTAACCTGAAATATTTAATCTTCCACTAATTTGATCAAGCTGTTTTACCAAAATAAAGATTCTGAAATCATTCCTAAGGTTGATTTTTCTGTGTTACTGTGATGTGGATAAATACATGCAAATGCTACATCAACACTAATCAAAAAGGTTTCTTTATCACATTGAATTCAATGCATTGTCTGGGTGAAGGTCACGTGGACCAAACTATTCACATTGAAAACATCACAATATGTTGTCCTAAAATAAAGTGTCTCTTTGGTGACCGTCTCTAGCTCTGGAGGCTGCCCGTATCTGTGCTAACAAGTACATGGTCAAGACCTGCGGTAAGGACGGTTTCCACATCCGTATGCGCCTGCATCCCTTCCACGTGATCCGCATCAACAAAATGTTATCATGCGCTGGAGCTGATAGGTGAGTGTCGTGGATATTTGATGTTTCTTAGGCTGTTGATGTTAGAAGCTTTAGATATCAAGATGTTAATGTTGTTTTATTTCCATTCCCAGGCTCCAGACTGGAATGCGTGGTGCTTTTGGCAAACCCCAGGGTACCGTGGCCCGTGTGCACATTGGTCAGGTGATCATGTCTGTGCGCACCAAGACCCAGAACAAGGAGCATGTGATCGAGGCTCTGCGTAGAGCCAAGTTCAAGTTCCCTGGACGCCAGAAGGTAAAGAGCACACTGTCGTTTAAATGGTTAATTAAGCTGTAGTAAGGAGTGGGAGTAAATGAGTGTGCACCCCCAGACCCTGCAGCTTATTAAGCCGACCAGTTCT